CAGCTCCACACTGTTATCTCTGACTCCAGCATTGGCAGTTCATGCTATCTCTGAGTGAGTCACAACATGAAGGCAGATCGCAGATCATTTGACTCTATAGCCTAAATAGTAACACTTACTCTCCCATTCTGGGATTTCAGGGGAGGCTCACTTGTCTGATTTTCTTGATGTATAGGGATTTATCTAATGTGGAAATGTGGGTCAGGTTGGGCGTGTATCGGCTGGAGTTTAGCAGAATGGGAGGGTGACCTTGTTAAGACGCAAGATCCTGAAGGCACTTGGCTGGATGAATGCTGGGAGAAGGCTGTGTCTCTCCTTGTCAGAGAGACTAGAATGAGGGCCCACAGTTTAAATGAAGAGGTCTCCTGTTTTAAGCATCGTGGAGAGAAGAATTTTCTTTCTCTCGGATGGTTGAGAGACTGGAACTTTCTTCTCCAGAAAGCAGTGGAGGAGGCGACAGCTGAGTTCGAAAACTTCTTGGTTAACGAGGTATTGGGGAGTAAATGGAAAAGTAGAGATCACAATTGGATCAGCCGTGACCTTATTAAATAAGGGAACATGCTCGAGGGCCTAATGGCCGCCTCTCGCTCCTAATTTATGTGTTTGCATCCTGTAAAGATTCAGTCTAATGTCTGAAGAACCAATGGACCAGACCAAACCTCCTCAAAATATATCCAGGAGATAGCTTGGACCCACCTTTTTAATCGTATTTAAAGGCAAGTGTAGGGCACTGTGTTCCAGATGTAATTCGATTGGTCAAACTACTAAGCTTTAAGCAAAATACACTTTATTTTTATGCCACAGTTAAAATACCAGCAAAAAAAATTGGTACAACTTTATAACTCTATCAGAATATTTATCAAAATAATACATTAACTACTACTCATCAACTGTTCCAATACAGCAGCATCCCATAAACACACCCTTGGCACAGGCACATTCAGCAAAACCAATTTCTCTCACTTGCCATCTCCTGCAGCCCAGGAGAAAGGAAAAACCAAATCTGGCAGCAGAGAGAGAGCTGTATAGAGTAGCTTCAACTCTTTAAAAACCCCAACTTCAACTGAAGACTGACTGATGTTTAGAAATTTTAAGAAGATAATGCTGTTAATACAACAGGAACGATGTTACCCAGTTCAACTCATTGTCCTCTCTCACCTTACAGATGTTGCTGTGTAGTTTTGTGCGCTGTGTTGTTATTTGTGTAGTCCCTTTAATCTGCAGTTGAGGATGTTAGCTTGCTGTGTCTGACCAGAGACTGCCTGACCTGTTGGAAATGCTCCCTGCAACATTCAGTTATTGCACAGGCACGGATGTCTTGTAGCAACGAACCCTTGCTCTTCGACCATGGAAGTGTCTAACAGAAAGCCTGTTAAATTACTCAGTCCCAGTCCTGGAATCTTTCCCCATATCAGCGCAATCCTTTACTCCTGCAAGTCTTCAATCCAACTTCTTTTTGCTTCTGAATCTGTTTCCAGTGCGTGGTTAGCCAGTGCATTGGGATGTTGAGTGTGGTGTGGATTTTATTGGCTGTGCCTTTCTCCGTATCGGGCTCTGAGCGCTCACTGCAGGCTGCTTGCTCCCCTGTTGCCTGTAGGCGATGTCCTGGTCATGGACGAGTACGGCTACATGTATTTCCGAGATCGAACGGGGGACACTTTCCGTTGGAAAGGTGAGAACGTGTCGACGACGGAGGTGGAGGGGACACTGAGTCAGATCCTTGGCATGACGGACGTGGCGGTGTACGGGGTAGAGGTGCCAGGTAAGTCTTTTTAGCTTTCACACGGAAAGAGGGAGCTGGTTACTGGACGCTGACCCCCCCAACCCCACCATTTCTGTACGTGCGGAACCCCCAGCGCCCCACCTGGCAGGAATTCGGATGGCCCTGATCACCCATCTGTCGGGGTGGCGGGGGGTGGGGGGGGAGGTGGTCACGCAGATTGCAGTTGGGTGAGGGTGCTGCTGTGATGCCTACCATAGAGGAATTGCCAGGCACCTGCAGTAGTGAGGCACTGGTGTGTAGTTGGTGCCTGTCCACTATTGGTTGCTGTCTCCGGTGGTGGGGAGTAAGGGGGAGGCGGTGGGGGTGGGGGGTGGTTTAGAAAAATTGGGCAAGGAGTAACAAGAGTTGATCCTGTCTTCACTGGGAACGTAAACCGGGAGGGGGTCCGGTTAGACACTCCTGCCTGTTCGGCCAGTCGGTGGGGAACTGATCGAACCCTGTGTGTGACCAGCTCCTGCCCCATTATGACCTGGCATCGCTCTGGCTTTCACAACTCCAGCTGTCACACTTGTGAAATTTACAATTGATCAGGGATGACTCCGAGTGAGGAGTTTCAGATTTTCCCACCCTCTGTGGGTAGAAGAGTTTCCTGACTTCAGGAATGAAATATCCACCTAAAATTTTCAAACTGACCCTCAACCCAGCACTAACCTCACCAACCAGTACAAACGGCTTCCCTCCGTGCCTTAAATATCTTTAAATATCTATTATTCATCTGTACAAAGCATGGTCTGGGTGACTGCTTCACAGAATGCTTACCTTCTTCTCGCAGAAAAGACTCTCCGCATCCTGTTGCCTGTCACTTCAACCCCACTACCCCATTCCCTGGTCAATAGCTCTGTCTCAACTTGCTGCAGTGCTCCAGCGAAGCTGGAGGAACAACACTCTATCTTCTACATGGGGACCCTGCAGCCTTCTGAACTTAATATCGAGTTCAATAACTTTAGGGCCTGTGCCCCTTTCCCCATGCACTTCCCCCCAGCCCCGTACACCATGCCTTGCCACCACATGGTCTGCTAACACTCACTAGCCATTGTCAGTCACTAATAGTACCCATTAGGAGCTATTCCTTTCCCCAGACTGACCTTTTAACCACTCCTTTGTCTGTCCAACTGTGTTTGTTTCTCTGTTTCTCTCTCTCTCTCTCTCTCTCTCTCTCCCTCATCCTCTCGCACACGCACACACACTTTCTCTCTCTTTGAGCTCTATCTCCATCCATTATTTACTCCCCCTGCCAACAACCACCCTATCTTTTGAAGAAAAACAGCCTTTTCCCAGCTACCATCAGTTCTGATGAAGGGTCACTGGACTTGAATCATTAACTCTGTTTCTCTCTCCACAGAGGCAGTCAGCCCTGCTGAGTTTCTCCAGCATTCTGTGTTTGTTTCAGATTTCCATCATCTGCAGTATTTTGCCTTCATTCAATGTCCTCATTTTTTAAAAAAATGCTTTGATAGGATGTGGGTGACATTGGTCCTTGTTTTCCGTCCCTAACTGTCCCGGTCACGTACCGAGATTTTTTTTTCTTTATTCATTCACGAGATGAGGGCATCACTGGCTAGGGCAGCATTTATTGCCCATCCCTAATTGCCCAGAGGGCAGTTCAGAGTCAACCACGTTGCTGTGGGTCTGGAGTCACATGTAGGCCAGACCAGGTAAGGATGGCAGTTTTCCTTCCCTAAAGGACATTAGTGAACCAGATGGGTTTTTCAATGATAATTTCATGGCGACCACACAGACTACATTTCAAATCCAGATTTTCGCTGATTATATTTAAATACCACCAGCTGCAGTGAGACTTGAACCTATGTCCCTACTAGACTATTGATGTTACCACTACACCACCAACTCTACTGATGAGACATTGATAGCAGGAAAGCCTTTAGCTCCATTCACACAACCTCTTGAGGGACAGTACCGCAGTGGTCTCTGTGTATCTCAGTGAGGAAGGCTTAAACTTGAGCAGAGCGCCTACTTCTGGTCACTGTTAGAAATGTGCTGTGGAAAGTACGCTTGTGTGGATGGCAGTGAGAAAGGGGCAGTTTAGGGATTTTTTTTCTTCTTCTGACTCCTTCATTTAAAAGTTCCTGAATGAGTACAGTTCCAACAACACTCAACAAGACACTGTCCAGGCCAAGGCTGATTGGCACCACATCTCCTGGTGAGTAACTTGCACCTCTTTGGTTTCTGCCCCCACTTTAGGTGCAGAAGGTAAAGCTGGAATGGCCGCTGTAGCAGATCCTAACAATCAGATCGACCTGGAGACATTCTACACTGACCTGGAAGTAGCTTTACCTCCATACGCACGACCCATGTTCCTGCGATTATTACCAGCAGTGAGTAAAACAGGTATGAGACAGGAATCTTCAGGAAGTATTCTGCGTCTGTCGTCATGTCCGTTCACCTGTTTTCATTTAGAGACTGATAGCAGTAAGAGAATTCAACAAATTACTTGCTCGGGTTGTAACGGCTGTAATTATTCAGCAACGATAGCGAAGACATTGCAGGGAGCTTCGCTGATGGAACCACCGTGTGTTAGCCATTCCCATGGTACTGGCCTCTAATGGTAGGATTGCAGCACCATGCTTACTCGCTACCGTCCCTCTGTCAGTGCAATGCAACATCGATTATAGCACCTTTAACAAGGCAGTGTTCCCTTGGCGCTGACCCTCTGGTGCGGCGCTCCCTCCCTCGGCACTGCACTCAGTGCTAACTCTAGTCACATTCTCGGCTCTCTGGATTGGGTCTTGAACTTTGAACCTCCCAACTCTCGGTGGGGTTGCGGTGAGGGGGTGATATGTGCTACATGCTACTGAGCTGCAGAGCAATTAAAAGTAGGGCCTTGGGGAGTGGTGTCGAGCAGAGAGACCTGGCGTGGGGTTCGGGTACATACTTCTTTGAAGTTTGCGTCACAGGTAGACAGGGTAGTTCAGAAGGTGTTGAGCACACTTGCTTTCATTGCTCAGACCTTTGGGTATAGGAGTTGGGAAGTTTTGTTGAGCCTTCTTCTGGAGTACTGTGTCCAATTCTGGTCGCTCTGCTTTAGGAAGGATGTTATTGAGCTGGAGAGGCTTCCAAAACGATTTACCACAGTATTGCTGGGAATGGAGGAGGGCTGGAGTTATGGGGTGGGGATGGATAGGCTGGGTGTTTTTTCACTAGAGTGTAGGAGGCTGCGGGGTGACCTTATAGAGGGTTATAAAACAACGAGGGCAATAGATAAGGTGAATTCAAGACTAGGAGTGGCGTAGTTTTAAGGTGAGAGGAGAAAGATTGATAAAGTACATGGGGGGAGTGAGTTCTTTTACACAAAGTGGCTCGTGTGTGGAATGAACTTCCAGCGGAAGTGGTGAACGTGGGTGCAGTTACAATGTTTAAACAATATTTGGATAAATCCATGAACAAGAAATGTTTTCAGGGATATGGGCCAAGCGCAGGCAGGTGGGACTAGTTTAGTTCGGGATAATAGTTGGCAAGGACTGGTTGGAGCGGAGGGTCTGTTTCCATGCTGTATGGCTCAATAATTGCTTTCCTGACACTGACTTTACACTTTTTGCTTTCACATTCCCAGGAACGTTCAAATTCCAAAAAACAGACATGAGAAAGGAGGGGTTCGACCCGAGAAACATTAAGGACAGACTTTATCTCCTGGATCAAAAACAGCGAACGTATGTCCGATTGGATGAAGAGCTGTTCAGAAGCATCCAATCAGGGAAACAGAAGTTGTGATGAAAACTCATTGATATATCTGTAACTTTGTTTACCTCACACTTACTGCTGTCAGTAGCCAGAAAAAGCAAAAGGGATCATTCATTCCATTTCTGTTACTTGACCAGACTTGCATGTACAGGAACTTCACAGAGAATTCCATTATTTTTCTTTAAGTTTATTACAGATTTGCTAGTAATTTATGAAGAGCAATTATTACAATTTTGCACAAGAGAATTATAATTAATTTTTATTATCTGTTTTGTTTGGGGTGGTGATCTTCAATTGGGAAAAAGCTTTTATTTATTGGTTTCTTCAACAGAGCCTGTGTAGCATCTTCGAGTGTTTGAACATTTAATTAAACAGGTTTCACAACGGGACACAAGCTGTCACCGTTTCATCTCCATCTAAACCCTCCCTCAGTCCTAGTCCTTTACACCTTTTAGGTTATTGTTCCTGGATACAGGGAGGGATGTGTACAATAGCAGTCCTCTTTGCTAAGGAAGGATCCATTCACCACTTCTATATTTAACACCCCTAGTCCAGTATGGGGGCGGGGAGTGCGGTACCGTCGCAGGGTCAGCGCCGAGGGAACGCGGCGCTGTCGGTGACAAAGATTCACTCGACTGACTCCTGGCATGGGGGTGCTATTCTATTACGGTTTTGGAGTAGATTTGTAGCTCGGGTTGTGGGTGTTGAGGTTGGTTGGCTCGCCGAGCTGGTTTATTGTTCTGCAGATGTTTAGTTACCATGCTTGGTAACCTCCTCAGTGCAGCCTCCGATGAAGCGTCGGTGTGTCTTCCTGCCTGGTTTTTAAACTCTGGGGTCCATTGAGCTGAATTGCCTCACTTCTGTTTTCCTTCGTAGTGGAGTGTATATGAGGTCGAGCTCTGTGTGTTTGTTGATGGCTTTCTTCGTGGAGTACCAGGCATCTAGGAATTCCCGTGCCTGTCTCTGCTTAGCCTGTCCCAGGATTTTGTTGTTGTCCCAGTTGAATTGGTGGTTCTCCTTATCCATGTGGATTGAGATGAGTGAGTATTGGTCGTGTCTTTTTGTAGCCAGTTGGTGTTCGTGTACCCTAGTTGTTAATTTCCTTCCTGTTTGTCCGATGTACTGTTTCTCACAGTCTCTGCAGGGAATCTTGTAGATGACATCCAAAAAACTGGCTCAGAAGATGCTTACACGAACAACAGCAAGAAGATACTGCACGCCCCGACACACTCGTCACACTACTGTATATCAGGAACACATCGGAACTCACCACAAGACTCCTATGACCGCTGGGCATCAGAGTGGCACACAAGCCCACATCAACCCTATGACAACTGCTCACCCGAACCAAAGACCCACTTCCCACCATAGACAGGACCAATGTCATCTATAAGATTCCCTGCAGAGACTGTGAGAAACATTACATCAGACAAACAGGAAGGAAACTAACAACAAGGGTACACGAACACCAATTGGCTACAAAAAGACACAACCGATACTCTCCCTCATCTCTATCCACATGGATAAGGAGAACCACCAACTCGACACCAAAATCCTGGGACAAGCAAAGCAGAGACAGGCACAGGAATTCCTAGAAGCCTGGTACTCCGCGAAGAAAGCCATCAACAAACACACAGAGCTCAACCCCATATACACACCACTATGAAGGAACACCGGAAGTGAGGTAATTCAGGTCAACGGACCCCAGAGTTTAAAAACCAGGCGGGAAAACACACTGACGCTTCATTGGAGGCTGCACTGATGATGTTACCCAGCATGGTAACTAAACATCTGCGGAAAAACAAACCAGCTTGGCGAGCTATTCTATTGGTAGAAACTGAGTCGAATGAGTCAGTATTCATTCTCTGGGCTGTCAAAAGGTGAGATTTGGTCTCGGTAAGACGTACAATTTGTTGAGGACTTGACTGGGTCGATACAGAAGAATGGTTTTTCCTGGTGAGAAAGTCTAGAGCAGCTTCAGATAAAGGGTAACACAATTAGGGGCTGAAATGAGGGGGAACGTCTTCATGCAACCGGCTGTCTCTCTTTGGAATTCCTTAAGCTATAGGACAGTGTATACTTAGCTTGTGAATTACCTGCATCGATTAGGGATCAGTTGGAGCAGGGGAGTTGACGTGAAGGCCAGCCAGTCTGTGGGAGAGCAGGCTTGAGGGGACGAGTGGCCTCCTTTTTTGAGATGTGAGGCCTCCAAACCAAGTTTCTTCTGATCTGCATAACCGAGCTATAACCTGGATGTGTCAGCCCCGTTTTTTTTTTCAGTTGTCACCTGTGCAGGATCCCACTAAGGAAGTACAAAAAGAGTGACATGAAATCGCACAGGCACTGGGTCAAACATTCCAGGGAATGGCAGTGTCGACTGTTTCTGACTCAAAGGGACTGGCTTTTACTGAATACTGACCCCCCCTCCCAGTGGTATCTGTGCCGTTGTGGGGGGGCCCTCCCCCCTCCCAGTGGAAGCTGCGCTGTGGGGGGGGTGGGGGAGATGGTTCTTGTCGTAACTCCCTGACCGGAGATGATCCCAGACAAGGGGAAGCAGCAGCTTCACTCTGTGTGGCAGGGGTCAGACGGGATGGACGTTCCCCTGGGGTGGGGAGAGGGGGTTAGGTCTTTGCTGGAGAAGTGAGCCCAGGTCCAGCAGAGTTAACCATGATGCCAGGAAGGATTGAGACAGAAAGGGGGTGGCGGGCTGTGCTGATGTCAGTTTGATCGTTTCTGTGCGCCCGTTGACCTTGCAGACCGGGATAATGCAGCAATATACAACCAGGAGGGAATGCCCCCAGGAATAAGCAATGTCCTCTGATGTGCTGTGAATACACTTACAATTGGACCTCTGTCTGCCTTTGCCTGTGCAATGCCTTTGGAATGATTACTCACTTAGTGAGGCTACAATGTAGGTGATTATTGAAAGCTCTGAACATTAAGGTGTGTACCTTCCCTCTGATACTGTAGATGTCCTTGTGTCAATGGGTTTGGACATTCTCTATTCAGCTGCTTTGTGGCGTTTAGTGTTGACAAGTCAATAACTCAGCACCGCTGCGTGGTTTGAATCAAATATTCGTGAATTGGAAACAGTCAGTGTAACATCAGGCCAGCAGGAGGTGCAGCTCTAAATTGGGATTTGCGAGTGGGGCGAGGAAAGGCTCAAAATCAGGCCGGGGCCTCCCAAGCAAGTGTGTACTAACCCGGCAGGTAAATGGCCTGGTGCCCAGCTCTCTGTTGCCCCTGATGGGCAGAAGTCCATGCTGTCAGAACAGGGTATGTCATGCACAGTGTGTGATGCCACAGAACAGGAGTAGGCATATCATTTGCAGGGCAGGGGGGGGTAACAGGGTGGGGAACAAGAACCTTTAATTTAAAAATATTAATTCTTGGGATGTGGGCATCAGCAGCAAGGCTAAAATGTGTTGCCATTCTGTAATCACCCTCAGGAGGGTCGTGGTGAGCCACTTTGGACTGCTGCAGGCCATATGATGTGGTGGTTTGGTACAACTGCTATCTATAGTTTGCTGGGCCCTTTTCAGACGGCAACCAGAGACTGCTGGAGAAACTCAGCAGGTCTGGCAGCTTCTGTGGAGAGAGAAAGCAGAGTT